TTGTCCTGTGCCGTTGGAGGCCCCGCCGACTACTCTCCTGCCGGGGGTCCTGCCAATCCTATGTCCTGTGCCGTTGGAGGCCCCGCCGACTACTCTCCTGCCGGGGGTCCTGCCAACCCTTTGTCCTGTCCCGTTGGAGGGCCCGCCGACTACTCTCCTGCCAACCCTTTGTCCTGTGCCGTTGGAGGCCCCGCCGACTACTCTCCTGCCGGGGGTCCTGCCAACCCTTTGTCCTGTCCCGTTGGAGGGCCCGCCGACTACTCTCCTGCCAACCCTTTGTCCTGTCTCGTTGGAGGTCCCGCCGTCTACTCTCCTGCCGGGGGTCCTGCCAATCCTATGTCCTGTGCCGTTGGAGGCCCCGCCGACTACTCTCCTGCCGGGGGTCCTGCCAACCCTTTGTCCTGTCCCGTTGGAGGGCCCGCCGACTACTCTCCTGCCAACCCTTTGTCCTGTCTCGTTGGAGGTCCCGCCGTCTACTCTCCTGCCGGGGGTCCTGCCAATCCTATGTACTGTGCCGTTGGAGGTCCCGCCGTCTACTCTCCTGCCGGGGGTCCTGCCAATCCTATGTACTGTGCCGTTGGAGGCCCCGCCGACTGCTCTCCTGCCGGGGATCCTGCAAATCCCGTGTCCTGGTCCTCTTCCGTGGGGGATCCTGCCGAGGCCTGTCCCACCAGCTCCGACACCGGGTCCTGCCCGGTCTCCGGCACTGTCCCGTCAGCGCCTTCCTGCCCGGCCTCCGGAGCTCTCTGGTCTTCGCCCTCGAGCCCGGCCCCCTGACTCTTCCGGCCGCGGTCCTGGCCCTCATGCTCGGCCCCCTGACTTTTCCGGCCGCAGTCCTCGCCCTCATGCTCGGCCCCCTGAGTTCGCCCGCGGTGGCCTTCGCCCCTCCATAACCCCCATTTTGGACTCTGCCTTGCCCCCGGGCCGTCCGCCCGAGACCCCTTCCTGGTCCTCTGCCTTGCCCCCGGGCCGTCCGCCCGAGACCCCTTCCTGGTCCTCTGCCTTGCCCCCGGGCCGTCCGCCCGAGACCCCTTCCTGGTCCTCTGCCTTGCTCCCGGGCCGTCCGCCCGAGACCCCTTCCTGGTTCTCTGCCGTGCTCCCGGGCCGTCCGCCCGAGACCCCTTCCTGGTCCTCTGCCGTGCCCCTGGGCTGTCAGCCCAAGCCCGTCCTCCAGACCCCCTCCACCCACCCTGGTGGCTTAGTGATGCGTCCCTCCTCCGGACCCCCTCCACCCACCCTGCTTAAGGTTTTGGACTTTTTTTGTTTTGTTTTGGGACGTCTGGGATCCGTCCCTTGAGGGGGGGGTACTGTCACGATCTGTCTGTGTTGTTGTTTTGTCTTGTCTTTTTCTATCTTTGGGTTTCCTGTTTTATTTTGTAAATTGTTCACCCCCGTTTCCTGCCTGTTGCTTTCTGTCTGTTTTCCCTCCCTGATTACCCGATTGTGTTCACCTGTTGCCTCTGTGTTTTCTCCTCCCTCCTCACCTGTGTCTTGTTTGTGTGATTAGTCTTGTGTGTATTTAAGTTTTAGTTTTTCTGTCTGTCTTTGTCGGTTCGTCGTTTGTATGTGACTGTGTTCACCCGTGAGTGTTCTGTCTGTCCAAGTTCTATTAAAAGTATATCAGTTTAATCTGCATTTGGGTCCTGCTTCCTTCGCTCTACCGTGACAGATTGGGAGTGTGTCTGTGGAGGAGGTCAGTCAGGTGGGATGGGGCCAGGTTATGGAGGGCTTTGTACGTCATTAGGAGGATTTTGTACTGAATTCTTTGGGGGATGGAGAGCCAGTGGAGCTTGATGGGGACGGGTGTAATGTGTTCACGGATTCGGGTGTGGGTGAGTAGACGGGCGGCGGAGTTCTGGAGTCCTGTGAGCCCAGTGTGCTCTGATTGGTCGGGACGTTGGGAGGCTCGTTGCTGCGAGGAGCTGACAGGTTTCCGGGTCGGCGATACAGCGAGAACAAGCTAAACTCATCCTGAGCACACACAAACACTCACAGCCGAAGTAAAAACAATAAGTGTGGCTTGATATTGAGTAAGAAAAAGGTTTATAACGCTTTGAGATTGGGTTTGTGGAGAGCATCCCAACTCGTCTATTACCAGCGTTCAGGGAGCTCTATGCAAGTCAATGGGGACTCCCTGTTAGTTAGCCAAGGGGTCCTGGTGTGTGAGGTGCTCCGCGGATTGGTCCATTTGGCCCAATCCGGTCATTTATTGTTGATTTGGGTGTTCACACGTCACAGAACCCAGGAAGCAAACAATGTAAAATGAGAAATCTCCAACGAGGCGTTCTGGGGCAGCATAGACAGGTCTTTTCTGTGTTAGAGTTTTACTCGCTACAGGGTGTACTTTGAGGGTTTGTGACTCTGCAGACCGTTTACATGCATAAAAACCTTCATAACACACAAGGGGACGGGTAATAACCGGAAAAGCATGACATGGGACCTTTAAATAAGCATTGGTGGAAATTGGCTCCATCTTGTTGGTAAAGCAGCCAACACACACACATTTATAAATCCTGGTTACAGATCATTGAAGCTCAACTGTTTGAGACAAATCTTTTTACTTCTTCACTATCACTGTTGGGAAATGTGGCTTTAACCGTTATCCCACAGTTGTTGTTTTTAAAACAGAAACTTGAAACCCCCGTCAGCGCTGTGCTGACAGGAAAAGTTCATGTGGATTACCTTCTTTATTTTTTATTCAAAGTGGATTAAATCTGTTATTTCATGGCCTCAGGTTACTAAAGCCTCTGCCAATTGACCTAAATGGTCTGGGTTTGCATATTGTTTTGATTTTAGAGGATTCCCTTTAAATTAGAGGAGATTTCAGGGAAAGTCACGTTTAATCTGACTTGAACCCTTTCCTGTTTCTGGGGGATTTTCAACATTAGCTGTGCTTCCTGAGAACTATGTTTCTACATGCAGAGAAACGTATTTGCTAACAAGTCACAACAAGTGATCGGATTCATAAATATTTATCTGAGAGTGCATCACTTGCATTTTGATCCCTCTAAAGTGGAGGGCCTGAAGATAAGAGAGAGAGACGGCAGCATAGACTTTTCTCAACAGAACAGCCTCTTTCTCTGTGAGATCCTAAACGGCCATTCTAGGCAACATTTCTGTCCATATGAAAGAAAAAGGCAGTGAGGAATAATTCATATTGGTGGATTAAAATAATATGTTTAAATGCAGATATTTGTTTTCTCTCCAAGAGTTACAGTAGATAAGAAGCTTATCTCAGCCAAAGACTGGTAGTGCAAACATTACTGATAGACTAACAGACAATAGCGCTCTAAAGAACAGATTTGATAAATGTTCACTCATGTTGACTCATCATGAGAAGCACAAGTCAGCCTGTGAAGCATTGGTATAACGTCTACTGTGACCCTGAAGGGTATTCTTCAAGTATGAGATAATAATGAGGATGACATCATAGTGATGTCATCAGGATTATCGTATCTCGGTTTGAATTGAGAATTGCATTTTTAACAGATAACGTGCACTACAAACTTTGACAGTTTGACTAAAGAGGGAATTTTCCATAGCTGTAAGGGGGGTCAATGAGATATTTCATTAAGATGCATTATTGGAAGTGTAGGATCTATAGAGTTTTATGAGCCTAAAATGCTCCTAATTCAATTCGATTCAAAACCTTTATTTAACCAGGTAAAATCCCATTGAGATCAATGATCTCTTTTTCAAGGGAGACCTGCAGCAGTAGGTTCCACAAGAAGACATAAAAACATAAACAACAGAACAACAAAAGGACATCATACAGTAAAATGTACAGGGATTACAATTTACATATCTAACCACATGTACAGGTACCAACAGCATCTGATTTTGTAGCATCCAACCGAACTTTAAAAACATGTAGTGGTACTAGCTTGGTAATTTTCCATTCTTTTTGCAGACTGTTCCATGTTAGTGGAGCTGCACATCTAAAAGCTTTCTTCCCTAAGACAGTCCTAGCACTTGGCACATTTAATAAAACCACAGCATGCGATCTCAGGCAATAAGTACTTTCAATTTCATTCAAAAATGTTCTACTCTGGAGAAAATGTAAACAAATGTATAACCTGACTAGATCATTGGGTGAAATTTTGAATTTGTCCAATATGTTTTGTTTTTGTACCTAATACCCAAGCGGCAACCTCTGATGCTAAGAGAGGAAGTCAACACAAAAGTGCCAAAACTAATGACCAACATGAGTAGAGACAGTAACTTTATAAAGCCAAAAGTCAATGATACATGAATAATTCATTTAGCAAAGCTCTGTATTATTTCACAAAGCAACTAAAAACATCTCTAGTACACAAGAGACAATATCCAGCATCATCAAGTTAATCATTTCTGGAGCCAGACGTTTCCTCTGCCTGGTTCATGAACCCCATATCATAACCCTTTTAAATAAATATTTAATTGTTGTTGTTTATTTTAAACAGCACTTTATAGACTGGTTCTGGTTCCTCTCAACTATACTTTCTGCAAAAGTTTTCAGAAAGCTTGATCTTTATTAGGCAGCCAGAAGATTTGTGTTCTTCCATTATTTTAAGAAATATCACCCATAGGCAGTCCGTTAGGGAAACACATGACCTCACGCTGAACCCCACAGGGACAGCACCATGTACACTCACAATCCTCCCTATCAGAGTCTCTTAAATCTCTCACATGAGTTCCCATGTATTCGGGACTCCCAGAGGATGTTAATATATCACCAGTAGTAGCAGCCTGACCTTTGACTCTGTTAAGTTTCTGCTGTGAGCTGAGCCAAGCAGCGGGGTCAGAGCAGAGACACTCTCCCACAGGTGAGCCCACCAAACTGTTTCTCTTTTACTACAAATGTTGCTGATATCTAGAGACGAATTTTCTTTGCATTTTGACATTTTTCTTTGCATCAACAAATCTGTCTTTTCACCCATGCAGGAAACAAAGTGTGACTCATTGCTGTCACTGCATCCTGAAGCCTCCTAGCCTTCGATTTCCAAACAGAGCTCGCCATGATGGAGACGGAGCAAACGGCTGCGAGTTGTCCTGCCCTGGGCCAAACTCCTGTCAGGAGCTGGCTCTCCTCCAGCTCCAGAGGTACAGTGCTCCGCTGCTGTTGACTGTCACGATTGGTTCTCAAAAAAGAAATAAGCTCAGAGTTTTGCCTTCTGACTGAAGCTGCAACCTCTGACCAGAGAAAAGCAACCTTTCAGCACCTGCTAAATGCACAGTTCCTTACATTTTACCTGGACATGGTTTAGCAGGCTAATATAAATAATTATGTTTTATTCTATACTTGTCTGACCTTACTTTTGTTCATATCTTTAAGAAAAAACGAAAAAGAACTTAGTGAGATTTTTTATCTACACAGACAAAACTTCATAACCATAATATTTTCAAAATCACTTAAACACAAAACAGTTTCAGAGCAGCTATTTTTCTCAATAACTGTATGTGTGGGAATTTACCTAACCCTCAATTTACCACATTTTTAACTTGTCTGTTAACAACAATCTTTCAGTTGTAGCTTCTGAGATTTTCCGATTTTCTCTGTCCCACTCCGGCCACAGAAATGTCTGGGGGTGCAGATTCCTTTATCCAAGTTTGACCACTGCATTGTGTGTGCAGTTTGCTTAACAAAACAGACAATGCATCAACACATCAGATTCTTGCATACGACATACACTTGATCTTGTTTTAATTTGTGCCTCCCAATTTGCATTTATTCACATGTTTTACCTCTGACTTTCACCTCCGCCTGAACATAGACATTCAAAATGTGTATCTCTTTGCATCTGCATAGACCCTTCTTATTCTTATTATTTTCTTGTTGTCATATAAACTTGTTTAAAGTTAATTAATTTGAGAGAAAAAAGAACACACATGCATATACATTTGATATTTTCTTTTAAATAAGGACACTAAATCTTACTATACAGTACAGTATGTGTCCTGGTCTCTCTGAGTTTATTCATATCTGATGGGAAGCAGGAGTGTTTTCAGGTTTGTTTTCCTTGTTCCTCCTTCATGCACCTCTCTGCAGCTGTTGCAGTTGTTGAGAAAAACACTGTTGATGTCAGTGTCTGACTGGAAATCCTTTAACACATTTCCAACATTATAAATGTTTATCTGGTGTGAATACAGCTACATTTGCTCCAAAAATATGTATTTGCAAACAAGTGGTTTGTCCACAGAGCTGTTTCCTCTTGTGTCCAAAAGCTTCTCAAATCTAACACAATCCATTTTAAACACATCAGTGTTAACCATTCATGAGCAATTATGATTTTATGAGAATATGATCACAATGTTGCGCATGTAAAACGTGCAATAAACATGCATTAGTCATACTTCGATGATGAAGTATTGGATTTTTTAAGCCTAAAAAAGCTTCAGAACTCAGATGCTGTATTGTCATTGTACGTCGGTTGTCTCTGAGTTTTGAGTAGGATGATATAGTGATACACTTTTAATTTTAATTTAAAGTGTACAACATTTCTAAACCTGAAATCACACAAAGTTTTGAATAATAGGTTAAATGTAACAGTTATGTGTTGATGCCTAAGCTAAAATGTAACTATAATCAAACTAGAAGCCTGTGTGAATACAAATATCTCCATTCATTTTTAGAGATAATTTAGCCTTTGACAATCACCTGCTCAGGTCCCTCACTTTGTTTTGAACTCTGAAACACAAATGTATTTCTGCTGAACATTAAACTAACCATTGACTACAAAATCCAGTAAACTCTTTCACAACGTTAGTGAAGCTGTTTAAGAGGCGACCTTTGTTACAACAAGTATACTGACATTTTCATAAGCACTCAATTACTGTTTGCATTCCAGGAAATGAGATGAAACATTGACCAAGCATCAGTAAAATGCTCACTCAGCTATTTGCCTACACACACATAAAACATATCATAAACATATAACAGGGGCGCAGATGAGATTTTTGAAATCGGGGGGGGGGGGGGGGGGACGAAACTGAGAGAAATTATTTTCACGATATTTACTTACCATTGATTTATTATGTGTTTTACAATCAAAAGTAACATTAACCGTGAGCTCAAATATGAACTGTTTCAAGATCAAATATAATGCAATATAAGTATGTATGTGGATTAACAAATAAATGGGTATTTAGCTTTAGGTGCAAGAAGGATAATTTAAAAAAGGATAATAAAAATATATATATAATATATATATTACTTTAATACTATCTGCGCCGCTGGCATATTAACACTAACAAACTTGTATTATCCATTTACAAACACACACAAATATGTACACACGAAAACTTTGTACAAACCCAGAGGTAAACATATTAAAAACACAAGTACACATCCATTTTAATCAGATTATGACACACAAACATATTTAAGACACAACTAAGAAGCACAAATATACACGGACGTGCTTTTCCTTCCTCTCACACAGATTTGTCCTTGTAGTTTAACCCTTTTTTCACCTCTTTATGCTTTCCAGGGGCACCCAGCCACCCCCCCTCCCGTTTCTCTGGAGACGGGGTCCGCTACAAAGCCAAGCTCATCGGTGTGGACCATGTGCCGAACGCCCCGGGACACAAGATGTGCTGGGACTCCATGATGAAGCTAAAGGTCAGAAAAAACATACCTCTATCTCCTATATTCAAACTGCAGTCATTTAATCAAGGAGGAAAATATATCACATGATAAGTGAGATTAAAATATGTTGTCAGTGGTTTGTTAAGTCCTTTTTAGAGGGCTTTTTTCTAGAGATAGATCTTCTTCCATTTTACAAAACTGGTACCTTCCACAAAGATATTTTTGTTCTGTTGAGCAGTGTCAAAAAAAGATAAATATATTGAATTGTTTAAGACTAATTCAAAGGGGATGATCAAATCAAATCAAGTTTTATTTATATAGCACATATACCAAAGTGCTGTACATATAATAAAAATAGCCTACAGTAGAGACACTTTACAGCAAATACAACAGCACAGATTGTTCAGAATATCAGTATGAGAAAAACGACACCCTCTGTCCTTAGACCCTCACATCGTACAAGGAAAAACTTCCAGAGAAAACCTACAGTTTAAGGGGAAAAAATGGGAGAAACCTCAGGGAGAGCAACAGAGGAGGGATCCCTCTCCCAGGACGGACAGTACGTGCATGATTCATGCTCATTGAACAATTCTACCCTTGTAACAGGTATTTATATAAATGAAAGCAAATACACGTGGTTTCTTGGATGGAAAAGGGAGTTGTGGGAACATTCGGAAAAAAAGGCTTCTAATATTTGACCTATTGCTCCTCCGATATGTCAGGGACTTCAGGCCCTGTCATCTCACAGGATGTTCCCCGATACAGTGGGAGTGTGTATCATAGCAACATCTTAGAAAAAAACATGATCCACAGGCGCATAACAAGATCAGTGTATTAAAAAACGGTTAGCTAGTTTGACGATTTGGCGCCCCCCAGTGATGGTGTCTACAAAATCAAATATTCAGTGGAGGGTTTTGGCCAACAGTCAGTTGAAAACAATTCTACACATAGCTTTAATACAACATTTCATCAGTTTAAATAGTCACGATTTGCCCTTCGGTATAGGTATAGGTTTTCTCCCATTGTCATTAACTTTTTTGTGTGCCAGGGCTTTGAGGCGGCAGCGAGGAAGCAGGGGAGACACAAGCAGAGAGTCTGGTTGAAAGTTTCCTCCAGCGGCCTGAGAATAGTGGATGAAAGGACCGGGGTGAGTTACTGCAACTCCCCCAAATCTCTCTTCCTCTTTGTGTTGTCCTGAAGCTGTTGTTGCCTCGGATTGTTTGTTAATCTTGAAAAGGTTTTCTCTCTCTTGTGTGCAACCTCAACAACCACTGAGGTCTTTAGAGGACAAAAGAAAACTGGTTCATTTATAACTAGCCAAAATGTGCATGATCTACATTTCAATTATATATTCTCAGGATTCCTTTGGGAGGTTAAGCAGAATATGTATATAACTGAAATGGATCAGTGCCATAAAACAAAAATAAGAGTCTATTGAGTTTTGTTTAGTAGCCTACACCACAGATATGTTGTAATTGAGCCCAGCCCAGTTAGAAGTCCACATTTGCATGTTTCCCCCCTAAAAGGCATAATGTTTGGCCTTTAGTACCCTTTTTTATGATGAAGAAGTATCAGTTAAATTCTAAGTTATGTTAATAGAATTGTGGAAGTAGTGTTTCCCTTATGAAATTGATTCTGCATTTTACGTGCAGTTAATGTTTGAATATTTGTTTTAGTTTTGGTTCAACTTCGGCCCTTTCTTTTGGACATATGTCTGATTGTAATAACCAACACCCCAAACTGTTTCCTGCACTGAACACATCTGTATTTCCTTGTCATGTTCAAAAATCTAAATTGCAGCTAATTTATTTTCTCTCTTAGGTTCGAGACCAAAACATGTAATTGTAGGTGAAGGGTGCTAGATCCAGAAATAACCCCAAGTCTAAACATTCCCCAGCAAAAGCCAGAGACACAGAAACAGAAACGGAAACAAATCAGCTTTAATCAGGATATATCTAAAGTTATGATATCTTTATTTTCCCTTTTTCATACATCTTTTCTTTATGGTAGTTTTTTGTTCCCCCATTCAACTTTTGTTGTGTCTAAATGTTTTGTAGTGGTTGGATATGTTGAACCTAAAACCTTTTCTATAATCTGCGTTCAGGCTGTACTTCATGACCACGACCGGAGCGGGATCAGTTCTCTGATGAGAGACGAGTCTGACCCCAGAGCTCTGGCCTACGTCTACCAACACCAAGACACATACTGCCTCTTCTACATCAAGACGGCAAACCTGGTATTACACACACCACTCGCTACATGGGAAACATATTTAATAACATATGAATATTCATAGACATTAGTGACAGTTATTACAAAATTACTTAACAAGATGCTATTTATTTATTTTAATAAAACCACTACACAGTGAATACTCAGGCTGCTGTATAACATTCATTATAATAATGGCAGTCTTTTGGAAATGTAACTGATTTGGGCTGGCAGATATGAATATGATTGAGGGCAGGAGAGAGGACCCTCAGGTGGATGAATTGTATTGATGGAAGTGAGGTGAACAGATGTATCTGTGTGTAGATTTGCTATGACAGGAACTTTAAAAAAAGTTTAAGACTATTTTCTCCAGCAGGGTTTGTGTACTTAACCTGAAATGTCACAGTATGATGCTTGCAGTCGCACACATAATAGTTATGTAGATGAATGCAAATAGTGCAGAAGTAGCCCATGTTGGACCTGTTGCCTTTTGGGAAAATGTTTTCATACAGTGTGATAAAGAAATGTTTCTTATTCTGATAATGAAAAGAGTAGACCAAAGTAGGCCAACATGCAAAAATGTACCTCAGTCTTGGACACTTGCTCTACTGTCGGTTCAAGTTAAAAGAACAGAGAAGTATCTATCTGCATTTTTGTATTTTCACGCTGTTTTGAACCCCACTGTATAGTTACATCCCTTATCCCAGGTAGTGAGAGCACAAGTAAAGACAGGTTTGTTCTCTGAGGAAAAGGATATGTTTGGTGCACAGTGTGATGTTTGATTTGTGTTCTCCAGGCAGACCCGGTCCTGGTTGACATTGAGGAAGTTTCTAAGATGGTGGACCAGGAGACAACTGAGGAACCAGCAGAGGCACCGACACAAGTAAGGCAAACTTTTTTAAGTGTATAATTACATCAGTGTTTTTTGACTTTGGTGTACATGTATTCATTTTTTGTATCAAGTGTTCAATGGTGTTTGTTTTTTCCAGACTAATTCCTTACTGCTACTCAATGACAGTTCAGCCCCAGCAGCTGAGGTAAATAAAATAAAGTTGTATTCCTTAAATCTTATGGTGAGGTTTATCATTGAACATCTTTTTATGTAGTTATTTTTCTTTAAATGGTGGAAGGCAAAGATTGAAATAAAACTGTACTGAATGTGCCTTTATTTTTAGGAACCAGCTTTGGAGGAAGTGCTCAGTCCACGGAAAGATTCTTCCCCTGGAAACTTAGACCAGGTACACAATATCCCACATGTGAATCTTTCAATACACTGTGCCTTACCTGCCTTATTTGAACATGTTTTCATTTAATGAACCACCTCTATCAAAACAACAAAATCATGAAACATCTTGCATTTCAGAATTTCACAACTTTGAGGTGAAATAACAAAGATATAGTGTGACTGACCTTTCAAATTCAAGCCTCAGGTTGGGGTTAGTTAGTTAGCAGTTATTCTGCTTTTTAAGATCATAACATATGTGAATTTATAAGACATGATGATGCAGCACTTTGTAATTTTTTTTACATATGGTATTTTCGTTAATTTCTATTATTGTTGTTGCTCTCATATGGCTCGTGAGACTAACTAAACTGCAGTTCGATTAACAGTCTGCTACCTTTTATTGTTAATTAACTTAGTGTTAATACATAAGCAATTGATAAATGTTGATTTATGTTGTTTTTAGATGCAAACTTTAGTGTTTTTCTGTTGCTCTGTGTTCAGGCCTCTTCCAGTAGCGAGCTGATGGCGGTTTTCTCGATCCAAATGGAGGAGCCGCTGATAACCGACCAGAGCTCCTGCGCCAGTCAGCCAGGTTAGTCTCAAACTGAGACCAGGAACTGTTATGCTGAGTAAAACATGATGCATACCTTAATCCTCTATAGCCTAACATATGTTAGAGCAGAAGTTAGTAGGGGGCAGCACACAGCCTGGAAGTGCTAATACTGTGGCCTCATTCATGGCAAAATGATCTATTTCCTTCCTGCTTGGTCTGTTTCTATAAAATGGAGCCATTCATTTAATTATTGTGGCCAAAAGTTACATATTTTCTAACCATTTTGGCCGCAAATTCCACTTTAATTTCACAATTTGAATCTTGTTTTGTATCACAATCCACTGTCCACTGTAAAAAGAGAAGAGGGAAGTTATTTCATGTCACATTTGCATAACTACTACTTTAGTTTCATTACATTTTAGAGATTGATTGATTTTTGGAATATGTTTTTTTTTATAGTGATTAACAGGAGTGGAGGGTTCACTTTGGGAACCAAACACAGTATGTGGTTATTACAAATGTTTTACATCACATCAGAGGGTGTATTCATGCAAAGATCTAGCTCAGAGTTCATCAGTTTGGTAACCTATCATGCAAATAAATATAATTAAAACATCAGGCTGTCATGCCTTAAAACTGGCCCCTTCCCTCCTCATGCTGACTCTTTTGTCGGCTGAATCAGAGCAACTTGATACTGTGGTTGAATGGTTGAAACATGATGTTTGAAGTGCTGAGAGCCAAAAACTACATTCACACCACCATCAAACATTAATGTTCCCTACATCATACATCATGAAAGACCAGGCAGGAAATAAGGATTCATACACTGACCTTTGACGGTGTTAGACCTGGAGGCACAAGAGAAATGCAAACAGTGTGCCATAACGTACACTACGTACGTTTTCCCACGATCTTCCTGTTTAAAATGTGTAATCCATAGGGAATGGCATAATTTCCATTGTATACTTAGAAATGGCCTTATTTTCTCATACTAAAGTTATCTCATTCTCCTCAAGAGGGAAAAATATCAGATCCCCATGAACTAAATTACAGAAAAGAAAACAATGAATAAGGTTTTTTTGCATTACATTGTTATATCTGCTGGATTATATGTATTTATGTAATTATTTTGTTTATTTATACTTGCATTTAGGTTTTTTACCAGAACAAGTTGACACCCTTTAATAATGATAAAAAGCTTCTGATTATGGGTTAAGGATGTGTGGCCCTTTTGAGGGTTTTAATACTTTCACAGTACTTATGTAGCACCTAGACCTGCTTCATAATAAACCAAATGTTGTTGGTCCTGTTGATAGTGTGGCAAAGGGTTGTGTTGGGGTGGTGTGATATGCACTTTCAAAACACAGGCTTTTAGGTTTAGATACTGTCTCTCTTTATTATAACTTAACAATGGCAATTCATTTTCATTATTGTAATTACAACAAGTTGATAATCAAATCAGATACTTTGCCATTCCAGAAATCCAGGATATTGCAACTAATGCTCTCTAAAATGCTCTAAAAATGTTTGGAGTAATTCCCATCACAGGGTCCCAGAAATCAAAGTGCGTCCTTTAAATGACTTCACGTCAAACAGACCGTCCAAAACCCAAGGATAATCCATTTAAAAGAGAGAGTGTCCACCGACAGAGAAAGGTGGACACTAATGCTTGACTTATAGTGTCAGAGTTCAGCGTAGATCAATACCACTCTCATTTGTTTTTTAAGAAATGAAGCCAGAGTTTGATTAGCTTAGCTCAGCATAAGGAATGTAAACAGTTGTACAAAGCTAGCCTTAATTGTATTCTAAAGGTAAAATATTCGGCCTTCCAACGTCTCTAATGTCTCCCATTGATGGTTGTGATGAGATTTTTTTGACACAAATGTAAAAACTGACAAGGGTTTCACTGGGAGTTGTATGCTCAAACTATTTCTTAACGCATTGGAAGTGCTCCAGTAGTTTTTTTTTGTTTGACTAAAAAAGTAATCGACTAATCGTTTCCGATATGATTTGCTACACAATATTTAGTATATTTTTTGTGTTCCTCTTTTCTCTCAGAGTCTCCACATCATACTCTCTCCTCCTCTCAGATCCTCTCCATGTTCCCCACTCAACCAGCAGGGGGCACTCCTTACTCCTCGCCCCCATGCTCTCCCACCTCCATGCCCTGGGGCCATCAGGGGCTTCTGGGTAATCAGTGGGCAGGTCCAGCTGCAGTGCCCTGGCCCACAATGCCCAGTAGTCCGCCAGCATGGCCCCCTGCAGGATACCCAGGGCCCCCTGCAGGATACCCAGGGCCCCCAGCAGGATACCCAGGGCCCCCTGCAGGATACCCAGGGCCCCCAGCAGGATACCCAGGGCCCCCTGCAGGATACCCAGGGCCCCCAGCAGGATACCAAGGGCCCCCTGCAGGAGGCCAGTTTCTGTCGCATGGCCCTCAGCCAGGAGCTGTGATGGGAGGAAACTCACCCGCCTCACCCACAGCTGTCAGTGGGTACCCCTCCCCTCTAAACTCCCTCTACGCCCCCACTGGAGCAACAGCACCGCTGCAGTCAGTCACCCCCACCTTGTACCAAAATCTCCTCCTGTAAAGAACTGAGTTGAAAATATGTTATCAAGATGATGCTCATTTAGGTCCACTAAAATGTGTATTTCATTTTTCATTCTTTCTTTCATTTGCACGTAATCAAATATTTGTTCTGCTGCCTGATCAAACTGGAAGATCAAAACCATTTACTTTGTTCAGTTTAAACAGACAGTAAATGATAACTCGTAACAACATACTGTAGTATGTTGTTACGAGTTATCATTTACTGTCTGTTTAAACTGAACAAAAGAAACACTTGTACTGCTATTGTTTAATACAATTGAATTTATAGTTCACAAATCACAAAGTATTATGATTATTAAAGATAGTATAGTTTCATTACCCCTGCTGATACACTAGGTTGTGTTTTATGAGTTTTACTGACACTTGAAATTACTTTTAATTTCTTTAACAGATATAAGTTAGTTAATGTAATGTTCATCAGAATTAAATGCAGAACATAAAAGGAAACTCACTTAACTTTGTTTCTAATTTCCTTCAAACTAAAGCATCTCACTGTGTCTTCGGTTTTATTATATAATTATATCATTGTGTGGACGTTCTTATTGAAATAGAAAGTATATAAATTAGTGCTGTCAAAATTATCGCCGTTAGGCGGTAATTAATTTTTTGAATTAATTGCGTTAAAATATTTAATGCATTTAACGCATGTGCAGAATGGCCCGCCCCATACGTGCCACCAGTGGCAGCGCCAGGGTATGGCTGGGGTAGGCTACACCCATACCAAGAAATGGCTTATATGAAAAATGATGTTAAAGGAAGCAAAAATAAAGACTGCCAACTCGCGCGGAGTAAATTGCACAGACAGCAGTTAGTAAGATTGATTTCAGTAGCCACGGTTTTGAAAACTTTTGTCACGTAGTGATCGTCTTCTCAATAGAACATCTTTGATAACGGCATGGTGTTGTTGCAGGAAGTCCCGACGGAGAATACTTTTGCTGTAGTACAGGGGTGCACATAACTGGTACGCAGGTTATGTGCGTAATCTCTCTGAAATGCGTACCGTCACTTGTGTCACAAAGCGCATTTGCGTACCGACGTACTTGTGAAGCTTTTCCAGAAGGCGGTTAGATCACCGGACAACAGAGTCGGTCTCCGTGTGCACAGACAGGGCTGCTGTTAACGTCGGTCTGTACAACGGAATTGTGCCAAAACTACGCCAACCGGCTACGGAGGGAGACTCCCCCCCTTCACTGGAGAACTGCGCTAAAACAGCTGATCACAACGTTCACACTCTGTGGTCATGAAGTACTCCACTAGCCGCCCCCCCCCCCTCTGTCGACTTTCCTGAAGTACTCCCCGTTGATAGAAATCAACACGTAATGAATTAAGACCCCACGGTTTGATGATTGATAGGTGTGTGGGTTGTCTTTCATTTTGACACGCAGAAAAATGTTATAATAAACATAGATACTGTATGTTAAATGGATATATCCGCCTTCTTTCATTTATCTTTCCATTCCCACAACAATGTACATAAATAAATGGCATATTTTGGACATAGTTCGAATGGTGATTAATCATGATTAATTAATTTTTAAGCTGTGATTAATCTGATTAAAAATTGTAATCGTTTGACAGCCCTAATATAAATGTATAATAACATATTGCAGAAAATAAGCTAAATATAAAATGTTTTCTTCACATCAATTGCACTCACAGTGCCCTAAAATATAACTGTATTATTCATACACATAATAACAAAAACAAAAACGGACCTTTTTAAGAAGAACTGAAACAAAGTGGCTGACAGCATGTTCAAGTTTCTCTACTGTTATTCCCATGTTGTGTCACTGTCTGTTCTCCTGTTGCACTCACTGAAGCGGTTCCTCATTTGAAGTATACGTTTTGTGACACAGGTCTGTACAGTAGATCAGCCTCGATATACTGAATCACGCTGGACATGGAGCACTTTATTCATCAGTGAGTCCACCACTAAAGGAAAATATGGTAAGAAATAATTATTTGCTATGTTACTAAGTTTATTTGTGAATATATTTGTGAATGGATGATTTACAACTCCTCGATGGCTCCTTTCACCCTTCTGGCCATTTCCTCATACTCGTGTGTCTGAATAATCTGACTTCTATGGAAAGACCATCCAATTTCATTTTTTTGAAAACCTCAGTTTTCCTCTTACATAAAACATACTATGGAATCACCTTTGAAACTTGCTTTACAAACCTGCAAATACTGGATCTTACCGGCTTGTTTGTAGTAATTACATAATTGTCACAGTAGAAGGGGAAGTTGGATTTTGGAAAGAAGTGCTCATGCTGCTAATGAAAGAAAGCTCTATCACAGTGGTCAATGATTAACAGTGAGCTCAGTGCAGCTTTACTTCCACTTTTCTAGCTTCCTATCTTCCTTCGAAAATACACATGTTAATAGCAGTTCAGAAGTTCATGTATGATATCATTATTTTAAATATAAAGTATCCTGCACTGCAAGTATGTGTGCAACTTTATCAATTATTTTAATTATCCATTCATCTAAGAAATGTATTTATATAAATGATTAAGGGTGATTCATGGTTTGGTCTTTAATATCTCTTTGACTTTCTCAAATGTCAATGTAATGTCTGTTAAATTTTTTCAGATCAAAGCCAAAAGGATGAAAAATTACTTTTATCAATCTATTAATCAATTATCAATAAACTTAGTGAAATAAATGTCTGACCTTCGTCCAATCGGTTAGTCAACTAATATTTGTAGCTGTACCAATGAATAATTAAATAAATGAATTACATAAACTGCATGTTCTCTGTTTAAGAGACTGGCTGCTACCTAAATATAGTCACTCGTACTTTATCCAGCTTATTCTGAATAGGTTAGTGCATTTCAAGATCATTTAAGGAGTTCTGACAAACTTATAATAATTTAAATAAACATTTTAACCAATTCGTTTTACTGTGTGTAAACTTAACAGAGAACAGAAGACTTCCCTTGAAGTCAGTGATATTTACGATAACAAATGACATACCAGAAAATATTTTAAGGTACAATTTCAATGTAAATTGTGAATGTACTCAATCATATTTTATTTGTTGACATGACTTTTTTCCCCAAGTTTCTCACTTTTTTGTAAATAAAATATGTGTTCTTACTGTTACCCTGCACAGCTACTGTGTGGTGACCCCGTGTTAAAAACTGCAATAAAATGTCAGACGACAGACACACACTTAGATGCACGCACACACTTTTGTTGAACCCCATCTGCGTGTCGTGTGTGTTTGTGGTGTAGAGAGAGGTTTTCGTCTGTTTCCTGCGAGCACAGCTTGCAGCTTATTGGTGCAGGAGGTGAGAGTGTTTCTATGGTAACCGGTGCAGGATGCTGGCTAAGTTACGGAGGTGTGCGGTGGTGATCACTTCCTGCTCTTCTTCACACCGTCTGTTTGACTTTGTCAAACTTTAGATGTTCAGACAAAATATGGTATAATTCCTTTGTTTTCATCATGTTTTCAGTTTGTCAACATAACAGAGAACAAGAAAACAGAAAACGTAACTATTTACAACAAAAGTTCCTTTAATTTTTCATCATTTTACCTCCTTGCTTTGAGACCATTGCTCTTTTAACCGCCTATTCAAGTTGAACACAACCAATGATAGTATTTCTGTCTGACGACGGACTTTAAGAGTTACTACAAAGATGCTCACCTGAAAGTCATGTGACTTCTTATTTTTATAAGAAACCTCTGCATACTTAGAAAAACTTCGTAGCACTGTAAAATGTTTTAAATATTATGGGGAAAATGTCATAGAATTATCCAACTGCAGTGAGTTTAATAGCTTTTTAATTGAGAGCAACAACAAAAGAGAGCATAAACATTTCTTTATAAGTCTTAAAATCCCCAGATAACCGTTTTAAAAGATTGTATTGGCTTCATTGGCTCATCTCTAGCATTGTTGTTGTGAAATTCCTTGCTATAACTAACAATTGAACCACTTTGTGTAACATAAATAATGTTTTAATGTAGTGATTGATTTAATTCCATGACTCATTGCAGCAATCTCAGTAAATGTCTGTTCCTCACTCATATCATAATCATTTTGTTGAGGAGACTTCTCAGCTCTGAGTAGATCAAAAGAACCAGGAAACTGCAATGTTGCACCGTGCATTCTCACCTAGTAGAGCGAGCGTGGGGGGTATGCCTTGCTATCTGCTGCGCTGCTGACTTCCTGTTTCAAACACATATCAGCTGCAGTTAAGTTTGTGCCTGTGTATTTTTTTCAGGAGGACAGCGTGGATGTGAAGGCTCTGAGGGCCAGGTTCAACACCAAGCCCATCACCTCACCAGACACCAGCAGCAGAGACAGTGGCTCCCCAAAATCTCCTCAACCCGGCTTTGGTAGACTTCCACTGACAGAGAGCAACCTGGCGCACCACAGACTGTCTCCCACGGTTCCTCCTCCTCCACTGGCTAGCTCAGGCCAGGTGAGGTTCCCGAGGCCGGCAGAATCCATGGCGGCATCCAGACCTCCCCTCCCTCGACCATCTCCCAGTCCTGGAGTCAGAGCCCCCCTCCAGCCGGCAGACCACAGCAGGGTCAAGCTGAAGGGGGAGATGCTGCAGAACATGATGCTGAGGCACCAGAGGCCTCCAATCCCCAAACAAGCCCCAGCTCACACCACCCCTCCACCTCTCCGACAGCAGCCCCGAAAGAGGAGCGCAGGGGAGGTGACCCCGCTCAGGAGGCCCCTGCCCCCTGAAGGACCCCTGCCCCTGAAACCCAAACGGCCTCCCAATGTCAACCTGGAGCCATTTCTGAGGCTCAACCGAGGACCCGCCCTTCCTGGTCCCAAAAAGAGTGACGGTAAGTCTCGGGCTTATTTCTCACAGTTTTTAAATCATGCACGACTCAATTGATAAATGAAATTACGAAAATACATTGCTGAATGTGTGTAAATATGTGTGCTATGATTTCCCCAGCAGGTTCCCCAGGATCAGGGGGAAGAAAGATGTCTTTACCCGCCGTCATCAGTCCTCCGAAACCGCCACAACGATGCAACAAACCCAGGCTGCCGCACCAAATGGCCTCCATGTGAGTCTTTAGATCACGTAATGCAGGTGTTATACCAATACATGCAGGAATCTACATACAATTAATTATTCCACATCTTCAGATAGACAATAAGTCATACATAAATCACTGAGAATGCCACAGTAAAATCAAATTCTCATCTTCATCACAGTTGACAGGATGTTAAGATTGCAGGGAGGAAAACGTGGGAGAATCTACAACTATCTTTAGCATTTGCAGCGTCCAGATGTCAGGTCACCAACCAATTGCTGAATAACAAGCAAGAAAAATGTGTTGCTTATTGATTGCAGGGACATTGAAGATAACCAGGACTACTATGATGACATTGGAAGCTTTGAGAAGAACGGTAACAATGGCATCTTGTTTGTTTGTGCATCACTGCAACTATTTCTGTTTTTACACCTTTGTTCCTCTAACACATTTTAAGTTATTCAGAAAAGTGAAACAACTTATATTTTCCTCGTGATGTTTCTTCACAGAGTCCTGGAGCGACAACAGTTCACAGTGTGTGGACGAGGTAAGGACATTTGAACTTT